TCTTTCCCTTAATATACCTTTCCCTTCCATCTTTGATGGTACGGGCAAGGTAATAAAACTCATATGTTGTCATAAAGTCAGATATTTTTTCAGGCAGTTTTTCTCTTAAAGACCGACATGGTATATAAAAAGGCGCGGGCGGAGTTTATTATTCAAATGAAGTCGCCTCACCCACATCAACAACGGTGACTAAAATCTCCACGAAAACACGAGAAACAGTGATTCACCGCATTATATTTTCCATTTTTCAAACGTGAGTGGCGCCATGAATGTTCATGAGGGTCGTCACCTGCGCACACACGGGAATTGAGTCCCAAGCGACGATAACAACACACGCTAAAACGCAAGGCTCATGGGTAGACGCTTGTTTGTAAGCAACCATTGGCACAATGGTAAGCAACGACACGCTATGGTCATTTGACGCACGCGCAGGTGACGACTCCCCCGCTTTAACCTTTTCACCACTAGTTCCTTCTTTTCATCACAACTTCACAAAATAGTCCTGTTTATAGTCTGCACTTTCCTTCAGAAGACTTGGACTTTTTTGTTGTTGTAAAAACTTAAAATTTACTCAGATTTTGTCTGTTGTTCATTTCCAGAAATATTACCGGGGGTAAAGAATATAAAAAAAAATGCAGTAAAATTTGGCCGAGAAAGTGAAAACGTTAAAAATATATGTAAATGTGAAAAGTTGATAACATGTTTCCAAATTAATAATCACACATCAATTATAAAACAAATTAAATAGATTGATTGACCTTAACTTTATAATCAAAGTATTCAAATTTTTTTTTTTTTTTGCAAACAACTTGGAATTTCAAATGTGCTGGTATATGGCCGTATATGGATGTGGCTATATTCTCTTCAATGATGGTCTGATTTGTTCAGGGTCATTGCAGTACAAGGTCAGTGAACAACTCATATAGGATCATCTGAAACAAGAGATGAACTTGGCAGACAATAATCTTAGTAGGAATACCACTAAATGGGTTTATTGTTATTTCTCATAACAATGACGGCCATTAGAGACTCTGAGAAGAGAGATGGTGGAGAAACCATAGTATTATTTTCACTTAGTTTGCTGCTAGATTTGTTTTCATGATGATGTTGCTGTAAATTTGGCTTGTCTTTTTCTGTCTTAGGATTTTTTCTCCCCGTTTTTTTGAAGTTGAATGGTCAACTTCTATATATGATATAATGGTGGCCCATCACAACAATATATTATTAAAACAGGAAGTTCATAAATCATAAACATTCATGCGGGCACAGGCCTGTCATTGTTGTAAGGAAATCAACCCTCACAGCTCCAGGGAGAACTGTAGCAGGCATGTATTTTTTCATGGCAGTCTGGTCTTGAACAATAGATGTTTGATATCTGGGGTTCAGCCTCGGAAGCAGGAATTGTTGATAGAAGGAAAACTCATTTTATTTCCTGATTATTTATTCTAAAGTAATACTGAAATAGTTGCTGTGCATGTACTCTGAATGACTAAATTTATATTTAATTTATTCAATTGATATATTGTACAAATGATGTGTTGTAAAGTACTTTCAATTATTCATTTATTTTTACGTGAAATTTGGAATATTTGTAAACAAGGAAATCCCACCATGTACAATTATATAGAACTCATTGTTTTGATGCCAAAATTGCAAATATAAAAATCTCAGTGAATATGCTCAAAATATTAAAACAATGAAACTAAATACCAGTGAACGTTAATGCCATTACAATACAAGTGTAGATGACACATGGACAACCATGGTAGTGTGCATGAAGAAACCCCATACGAAAATGTCAAAACCATGAATATTCATACATGTATTACATACATAAACCAAAACAGACTGTTTCAAGTAAATTCTGACTTTTAAACAACAAAAACACATTTTCAAGGAATCGATCCAATTGTACATATCTTCACCAAGAGAGGGCAATGACCTATTGACACCTAAGTGGCATTTTTTCTGCATTGAAATCAACAGGTGAAAAAAAAAACAAGTTCTAAAGTAACCCAAGATAATTACATATTGTATTGTGTATTAAATTACACATTAGTGATAACATCAACAAGTTTGAATAGAATTTACAATACATTAACTTTGAACAGTAAACCAAACATCCTCCAAGCTTGTAATGCATAGATAATGCACTCACCTGTAGATGTAGTAAGGGCAACACCATTTGAAAATTGGGGGTGGGCTGGACGATTGTACGCGAACAAAAAAAAAAATGTAGTAAATGAACTCACAAATTTATACAACTGCAAAATTGGAAAAATGTATGAATACAAAAAATTGTAATTAGTTCATATAATTTTGCCAAAAATCAAATTTCTGCACCCAAGGACTTTAATGGGTAACCCTGAACACTAACATAATGCCAAAAATTTCATATGAATATCAGCATTCTAATTACAATAAACGTAATCAATAACTTCTATTTGTCTTGAAAATTCAAGTATGGGATACTTACACCATTGACTGAATTGCACTTCAGTAGCATTTTGTAAAAAAATGTTGACAAATTTGTTCAATATTAATATTTAGAAATTATGACCATTTGGTCCATAATTGACAAAGAAATAAGAAGAAAATGCATAAAACGTATGTGAAATGTTGACAAGGCTTGAGGAAAATATATGCAGTTAATCATTTAGTTATGGGGAGGTGGTTTAAAAGATTTAAGGGGAAAACAAATTTTCCTAGAGAAAAAAAAATCTTCCCACAAAAAACAAAACAAAACTTTTACAGCCCCCACGTCCAATTTCAATGCTTATGATAATCCAAAGTATGCAATTCCTCAGAGATTTTCATCAAAATGTCAATAGGTGTAACTCTGTTGAAATGAGCGAGTTTAAATGAAGTCTTTGTTATGCAAGTATCAACTTTCTCCCTTGGGTGTTATGAGGTAATGGCCTTCAACATACCTCTATTGTATTAACAAGTGAATGGAATGTTCGACCCAGACTGTCAAAAAATCGTGTGTAAACAGAATGACCTGACATCGACCCAGTCTTGTTTAACCTAGGGTAATATTGTTATAAAATACACATGTGATGTGTGAAAACACGTTTGTTTCAAGCTACTGATACGTTTGTCGGTTTTTAGTCTTGCTGTCTCCTTGTATGCTTCTCACAACAAATGTATGCAGGTTAATTTGTAGGAGGAAAAATAAATGTTGACTAAGGCATTCAAAGAGTATACTGTATAAATTATACAAAAACAGAGAACAACAATTTTAATCATTTGAATTTTATTAAAAACGAGTCCTGAAATGGTACAGTCTTCATTGTACAATAGTAAACAAAACTTGAAATAAACGCAGGTCAATATTTGTCACATGATGTAAAATATAGGTACAAAGTTTGACTACAATCAGTCACAGTATGTCAGATATATAACTCTAGAACGACATTCATAAATATAAAATGTCAATCAGTCTGTTGTTTTGAGTAAGATCTGAAATGCATGTAATGTACCATGTTCAAAAGATATTGATGCACACATGACTGGAATCTGGTTCCGAAATTGTTAGCACTAAAATGGATGCAATTTTTGAATCGGATCTTAAAACAGATGCATGTGTATTCTAAGATGTATGATGTGTGAGTGAAGTTTGAATGTGATCGATCCAGCACATCTGAGAAACATGTGTGGACTTGCATTTCTCAAACTAGTTGCAATTATTTTGTGTTTTAAAGTAAAAGCCTACTCATAAATGAAAATACCCAGAATTTATTTGTTTTGCAATAAATTGTACTCCAAGCCTAATTTTTGTGAAAATAGTTGTTGTATTTTAGTGGATAGTTGCACTTTCATCACAGGTTCCCAAAGCAGAGATACTATGTCATAGACTGTGACATAGGCTGAAAAAATCATATTGTTGTCCTGAATTATTTTAAAAATCTGGGTTTTAAAAAGTGTCAAAAATGCAATATTGTGTTCTGTGGAATTGTTAACACACAAAATAATGCTATTTCGTTGTGTAATGGGACAGTAGCTACATGATTGTAGATAATGAACCAATGACTAGGCTTCTACCTTAATACAATGACGACCAGTATTATCTATAATCAAACAAAAAGTTTCTAATATTGCAGCGTCTCCAAAAGCTGTTGTCTATCTTGTGGTAGTTCAGTATACAAATCAAAACCAAGTGAAGCGTCTTTGTTGTAAGATTTATAATAAAGCAGGTGTTGAAGGAGTTCCTGAAGAAAAAAAAGGCAGCAAGATTAGACATTTAATATTATACAGACTATTATTCCAAGTTTAAGGTATTTTCATCTGATATCAATACACACATATATACATACAATACTACTCATATGTACCAAGATGCAGTGCGAAAATTGTGGTACTTTAACATAAAGTAATACCACAGACCTAGAAAAGACACTTTTCTAAGGTCATTGGTGATACGAGAGAGAAATCATTTGAAGTAGTCAAACCCTTAAGCCCTTGGAAAATTATTTAATTAATTCTTTTATTCGTGTGGAACTCACATACACACCAAAATTTAGTTTGAATACAACGCAACACTTTGTTTAACCCAAAAAAATGACCTAAACCACATGGCTAAAACAAATGTATTTCTGTCCATTCACTCAAGCCATAGAGGGCGCTATTTCGATGATTGGTAATGAAGAGGAGGGTGGGCACTATGCCCAAAAGTTGTTTCAGTTCTGCAAAAAATCAAGTAACATAAATTACATGTTTAGGATTACCAAAACAAACATTTAAAAAAAAAATATGACTGATATTGCAATGACTTCGCTGACATGGAAAGTCCATTCTTCAATCCCTGAAAAGTAATGTATTTGTTCACCAATTGAAGTGTAATGTGTATGAAAAAAACAGGATTTATTTAAAACCCTATGGTCTTGGAAAATATATAAAAAATGAGATTCACAACCACATGCTTAGCCACATGGATATATAATTTTGACTGAATTATAACCAATTTTGTGTGTGTGTGGTATTTTGCATTAACTCTTCTGTGATTTTTT